TTAATTTTATTTTTAATATAAATTACAATTAATTTTTATTTTTTAATAATAATTAATAAAAGGATATGATAAATATACCCTTAAGTATTTGTAATTGCACCAAACCGGAAGTCCTTCTTCAGTCCGCGTCTGTACTCCGGATTAACCTGCAAAGCCTCGAGGTGGGTCCTCGGGGTAGATACTCCGATGCTTAAGTCAGCAATAATTGGGGCTACCTTTAGAGCGGAGATAAAAGGAGCTTAGGGTTGGTTTCAATTACTTTTTTTACGTGGCCCATGGGGGGTATTTATAGGATCCAATGAGGAACCCACGTGGCATGCCAAGCAAGATAATCGGAGCCTGACGTGTCTATCCAGATGATTATTCCGGGACCGGGAATTTGAGAGATATTCAGATGCAAGGATGTCCATCATAACAGATGTGCAGCTCATTATAAGGAATCAGGTGCGGGCATGCTTATTGTCATTGTCATGTAGCTATTTGAGCAGGAAGTTTTGGATTTATCCTTCACTTCTGTCATAAAGGAATTACTGTCATACGTCCGAGGTTGGGCACCTCGGACCTACCCTTACACTATTCCCCCCCGAAGTCATTCACTTGTGAATGATGTTGTTGGAGATAATGGGAGTAGTGCATAAATAGAAAGGAAAGGAGACAAGAATATTAAAGATGAAGTAAGACTAAAGATAAAAGTAAAAATCTGTAACTCACATGTATGTATGACCATAGTCAATAGTGACGTATGAGGTAGGGGATCATGATGGTCATGCCCCAAGTAAAATGTGATAGAAATAATCAGAGCCATAGTCGTGATAAAAGTAAAGAGCGGAATTAATGTGGCCGGGGCCATAGTAAGAGGCGATGATCGGAGTCATGGTGGCCGGAGCCGTAATAAAAAGAGATGACTGGAGTCACAATGTAACTAGAGTCGTGACGAAAAATGATGACCGGAGTCATGACGGTCGGAGTCGTGATAAAATATAACGACCAGAGTCATAATGGCCGGAGCCGTAATAAAATATGATGATCAGAGCGGAAGCAAAGCATGTGACATTGGGTCACTATGGCGATAGCTGAAGTGAAACGTGTGAAAGTGGGTCACTATGGCCGAGGCCGATGTTAAATGTGTAATGCAGGATTACTGTGGTCGGAGCTGAAGTGAAACGTGTGACACTGGGTTACTGTGGCCAGATCCAAAGTAAAACATGTGACACTGGGTCACTGTGACCAGTGCCGAAGTAAAACATGTGACACTAGATCACTACGGCCGGAGCCAAAGTAAAACATGTGACACTAGGTCACTGTGGTTGGAACCGAAGTAAAACACGTGACATTGGGTCATTGTGGTCAGAGCAGAAGTAAAACATGTGACATTGGATCATTGTGGCCGGAGCCGAAGTGATAAGTATGACCGAAGACATCAGGTCGGTTGCCAAAGTGAAACACTTGTGCAAAATGTAAAATGGACAAAAGTGAGCAAGAGTGTTGAAAAGGGCTTAAGTGGGCCCGTCTGAGAAGTCTGACAAAGAGGCGGTACGTGACGTGACAGTTGTCCTCTTAATGATGTGCGTAATAAATACCGCCGTAAAAAGATAACTGCAACAGTTCAACGGGCGGGTTTAAAAAACGAACCATGAAGTTCGAAACGGTGCCATTTGGGGTTAACCGTCGAATTCGAAACGGTGTCTCTACAGTCATTAAATGGAGTTAATCACAGCCGTTGAGGTGTATTTTGCCTTTGGTATAAAAGGCTATACTTCTGTAAAGAGGGTTTTTTACTCTCGTTATTTTGCTACCAAATTTTTTTTAAATTTCGACGGTTTCGTTCGGTCTGCGCTTTGCTTGAGATTTCAACAACAGTTTCCCAAGATCAATCGTTAGGTAATGTTTATGAGTTTTTGGTTTTGATTTTGTCGAAGTGTTATTCTCTTTTCTCCCTTTCTGTGTTTAATTTTGGGTTTTTTTGAAGGAAATTAGGGTTGGGAGTGAGAATGTATTGAGTGTGTTAGAATTTTTAAGGGTCCTGACTCCGTTCCTCCTCCAACTTTATGCAGAAATTGGGGAGATGTCTTTAAAAGGGACCATGAGTGTAGTGGGGAGTGAAGTGATGCCCCTGGATTACGGTAATATGGATTCGGAGAGCAGTCCATCTCCATCTAGTTCGGAGAGGACGGTGGAGGAGAAGGGGAATCGAAGGGTAGTAGAAGAGGAGGAAGATGAGATCCCCTCAAACATTTTGGAGGCTGGGGGGAATGTAGATGGGTGTTATGACCCAGAGTTAGACATAGTGTCTGAGGTGAGGGGATACGTGAGTGAACTGGGTAGCAGGGGTGGTCTTAGGGGCCTCGTGGGTAACTGTAACCTTCCTCACCATGTCCTAATTAGGCCTGCCGGGGTGAATGAGAGGGCATGCTCAGCACCCCAAGACCATTGGATGCCCCTATACGTCCATTATTTGATTGCAGGTCTTAGGTTTCCCATTCCAGAATTACTGGTTGAGTTATTATTAGATTACAGTATAGGAATAACTCAATTAACCCCAAATGCCATAAGGGTGATAATAGGCTTTATTGAATACTGCCGGGGGTTGGGGTCCTTACAGTAAACATGTTTAAACATTTTTTCATAATAAAGGTTGGGGGTAAGGGGGAAAAGGGGTGGTACTACTTCGGCCCTCGGTCGTCCAGCAAAGAGAATAGGAGTTTATTCTCTTTTGGACCGTCATCCATCAAAGGATGGAAAGAAAAATTCTTTTTTGTGGATGACACCGAGTGGAGTAGGGGGGATGTCGAAGTAGAACAATTATCTGCTTGGAAAGCTAAGAAAACCAAGCAGAACAATTATAAACTGAATGAGGATGAAATGGAGGAGGTTGAGAAGCTGGTGAGGGAGGAAGGAGATGTAATGGATATCATGTACCTCACCAGCCCGAAGGTAATAGAGGCTGCAGAGCTCTATGGGCCAAGCTCATTGAGCAAAGGTTTGTTTGGTTTTGCTTTGTGCAACTTAGGTGAGATTTTCGTTTGTGTATTTTGACATTTATGTGTGTTTTGAAATTGAAATGGACAGCTTTTTTGATGCTGCTGGGGGGCTGCGTATCCCTAAGAAGCCAAGGAAGAAGTCAAAGACTTCAACTGTGGTAGAGAAGAGGGTGGCAAAGACGGAACAACTGTCCAGCACTTCTGCCCGGGCTGTGGAGATGCAGCCAAGGCCAAAGCCTGTGATGGGGGGTAGTGAGGAGGCGAGTGAGGAGGTGGCACTGCTCCATAGAAAGAAAAGGAAGGTGGCAGAACTGGAGGTTAGAAGGGATGAGCTGGTTGAGTTCGTGCCTCGACCTTCTCCTCCGTAAGTTGATGCTGAACTCAGAGAGAGGGAGGAGGCCGTGGTGCGAGGTCCTAGCAAAGGCAAGGAGCTCATCCCTCCTCATTCATACCAGAAGAGTTTGTTCGAGGCAACGAACACTACTGGAGCGAAACGGTTCCTCAACGCAACTCTTCTTGAGGTGGCTAGGAGGTAGGAGAGGGAGGAGGCGGTGAGCCACCTGGGGGCATGTGTTGTGAGGCACTCTCTGGAGGTATATAAAGAAGTTGTAGATTATTCATGTTTTACTTTTGATTTTATGACTTCTGCATCTGAGTTCTTACTTCTATTTGAATTACAGAGTGCGAGCTGGGTCAACGCTCTTGTGCAGGAGTATGCGGAGAGCGTAAGAGATTGTGCCAGCTAGCAGAGGCAATGTGAGGCCCTGCTAAAAGAAAAAGAGGAGCTGTAGAAGGAAAAGGAGGAGCTGCAGAAGAGGAACAATGATATGCAGAGGAGACTGGACGAAGTGCTGCCATCAGTGACCGAACTCCAGAATGACAATGACACCTTGAGCACGAGACTCATCTTTGAAGAACGTAAGAGGAAAATCTGTGAAGATAAGCTCGAGGCTCAGGATAAATACATTGAGAACATGAAGAAAGGAGTGGCGGAGCTGAAGAAGAATGTGAATCTGCTGGTTCACAACGGGATGGAGGAGCACATTGGCAACTTCCTCAACTCCAGCACCTTTGAGAACATAATCAACCTCTACCGGCTGCCAACCGCCATTGTGGCCTTCATCGACTGTAGAAAGAAGGTGAAGGCTCAGTACCCAGAGGTGGACGTGACAACGGTCACTTTTGGGGAGCAAGAAGAAGGAGTGGAGGAGGATGGTGAGAGCCTCGTTGCTGACTTCCAGCCTCTGATCAAGCTAAGGTGGGAGCGTGACGCAGAGGGGCGTACTATCTTTCCTTCTACCTTTGATGCTGAGCTGGTGGCAGTGGAGGAAGAAGAAGAAGAAGAAGAAGAAGCGCGAGGTGCTGGAGTGAAGAATCAGGCAGACCTGGCCGAAGTTCAGCCTCCCGTTGTTCATCCTGTCTCCTTCGACGAAGTGTAGCAGCTAGTTCTTCCCGAAGCAGAAGTGCCGCCTTTGCTTACTGGAGATGAGCTGCCTCAACCACCTCTTCTTGCTGAGGAGCAGCCTCCTCCTTCAGCAGAGTAGCTTAGGTCTTTATATCTTTTTAGTTATTTTTGTAAATAACATTTTTGTAATTAAGATTTTATTTATAAGATTTTTTAAGTTTATTCTTGGTGTTCAGTTTTGGTTTCGAATTGTTATTTTATTTTAAGGGAATTACTCCGGATAAAATAAAGTAACTTTATTTATCACAAGGTTCTAACCTCAGACACGATAAAATGAACAACACGGGAATTGACTTCAGGTATATATGAGACGGACCTCAAATATACAGATGAGAAAAGATAAAGTAAATCACTTTAAAAGTAAAATGTGACTGATTAATAAAAATCCTATCCCAAAAACTGAGGTGACTGAAGAAGTCACAATGAACTAACTTTAGAAATAAGTGAACTCTACTTCCAACCTAAAAAGAACTGAATCACTTCAAATGTGAAGTGAAATTCATGAATGAGATAAATGAATTGAGTTCGTATGTACATCGAGCAGATAAAGAGGATAATGACGATTATAAGCATAAGACAAAGTTCAATGGAAAGAAATGCATTAAGGGTAGAATTTCTTCAATTATTGACAGTCTAGACTCTAGGAACCCTTTTGCCTTCAGTGTCCCGTAGGATATAAGCACCTGGGTGCGACACTTTGGCTACAGTGTAGGGGACTTCCCAATTTGGTACTAACTTTCCAAATTGAGTTTCAAACCCCGTTAGACCGGCTTTCTTGAAAACAAGGTCTCCTACTTTGAATGTTCGGGGTCGAACTCGTTTGTTGTAGAAGTTTCCTATTTTCTTATTGTAAACTAGAGTTCAAAGTCGTGCTTCTTCTCTGGCTTCATCAAGTAGGTCAAGGTTCTCCCGAAGCAGTTGTCCATTTCATCCTTCATTGAAATGGGTGACCCTGAAGCTTGGGACTCTTATCTCGATAGGAATGACTGCTTCGGTACTAAAGGCCAGGTGATAGGGTGTTTCACTTATTCCAGTTAATTAACAGTTTAGAATGTGCTTTACACGTTATGCACATTTGATCTAAGGTAGAACCGTAGAAGGAGAAATAAAATAATATGAAAGTTAAGCAAGTGAACCAGGTTTGAAGTAATACCTGTGGCAGTTTGGCTCGTGGTTCTATATGCCCAGAGGACGTTGTTGAGCTCGTCTGCCCACCTGGCCTTATGCAGCTCTAGCCTTGGTTTTATCCCTTTGAGTATAACCTTGTTGACCGACTCTACCATCCCATTAGATTCTGGATGGTAAACCGAGGTGAACTGCAATTTGATCCCATAACTAGAGCAGAAATCTCTGAATGAGGAGCAGTTGAACTGAGTTCCATTATCGGCCACAATCTGATTCGGGATCCCATATCTACAAATAATTGAGCTGAAAACAAAGTCTTCGATCTTCCTGGAGGTAAGACTGGATAATGGTCGAGCTTCAACCCATTTCGTAAAATAATCCACGCCAACAATCAGATGAGTTACACCTCCTACCCCCTTTATAAATGGACCTAAAAGGTCAAGTCCCCACTGAGCAAATGGCCAGGGTGTTATCAAAGTAGTGAGCTCCTCTACTGGCTGGTGAATTAGATGTGCGAAGAATTGATATTTTTGACACCTCTGTACGAACTGAGTCGCATCTTTATACATGTTGGGCTAGTAATATCCTTGTCTAAGAACTTTATGGGCCAAAGTTCGAGCACCGATGTGGCTTTCGCAAACACCTTTGTGCACCTCCCGAAGTGAGTATTCAGCTTCATAAGGGCTCAAGCAGCGGAGTAGAGGGAGTGAGAAAGATCTCTTATAGAGGACTTCATCAATAAGGGTGTACCGAGATGCTTTCTTCCTGAACTTCATTGCTTCCTGTTTATCCTCTGGCACTGTGCCATCCCTTAAAAATGAAGTTATTGGATTTGTCCAGCTCGGTGTGTCTGGGTCTGTGCTGACCTCCATCACCCGTGGCTTCATGAAGCTTGGTTCATTTAAGACTTCCACAAAAACTAATATGGAACTTAGAGAGCTATTCGAGGCAAATTTAGAGAGTGAATCTGCCTGTTCATTCTCAGTTGGGGGGATTTTGTTCAGGCAAAATTTCTGGAATTTGCACTTCAGCTCAGCCACCAGGGCTACATATTTCACCATCACAAGATCAACAACTTTGCAGATTAAGTTGATTTGGTTCACCACCAGCTGGGAGTCACTGTATACTTGGATCGCGCAGATTTTCAACTCCAATGCTAGCTGTAAGCCAAGTAACAGAGCTTCGTACTTAGCCATGTTGTTTGTTGCATTGAAGCTAAATTTCAAGGCATGTTCACTTCGGTATCCCTCTGGATCAATCAAGAGAGCACCAGCTCCTGAACCCTTGCTACTAGATGCCCCATCAACATACAAGGTCCAGTTGTTTGGCTCTGAATTAGGAGTTAAATGACCTGGAGTGCATTCTACAATAAAATCTGCCAGTACTTTAGCCCGGATTGTAGATCTCTGCTGAAATGTTATTTCGAATTCCTCTAGTTCTACTGCTCATTTAATTAATCTTCCAGAGCATTCTCGCTTTTGCAGAATCTGTCGAAGAGGTTGATCTGTAAGGATAATGATTGGGTGTGACTGGAAATATAGCCTCAACCTCTTGGCCGAAGTGACAAATGCTAAAGCCACTTTCTCAGCTATAGGATACCTCAGCTCTGCTCCGTGCAACGCA